GTCAAATAGGAGTTAAGAAAAATTAAATTAAGTTCTAAGTATAGTATTCTTAGGAACGATAATCTAGACTCAAAAGTTCACTATATTATTTGTTACGATATCATACACTTGCGATATAAAAAAACACAACATTTGAACTTAAAATAAACATATGGTTTATTCATTAAGTAATATGTGCTAGTGGTTAAGAGACATAATGCATTATACATGGAAGATAATACTCGTATTTAGAGAACCTATCGCCATGACTCGTGTATTTTGTTTCTTCCTATGGTGAACGATGGAGTATGTGGACCAAGTGGGAGAATGTTAGCTTTTTCTTCCCGTGAAGATCTGTAATTCGATATCAAACCGAATTTGGATGTGGGCCACATTTTCCACCTCTTAAGGACGTGAGTAATGTTCAAAATCACCTCAATTGCCTTCCCCAAGTTTGTGCTTGGTTGAGAACGGCTCTGTGATGGACCGAGCCTATATATATATATTCAGTATTTCCACCGATTGGGTCCCTAAGCCTTCCAATCTCCTACAGTCAAAAATACGTCATCTAATTGAGGTTGAGTGAGGTTTAGAAACACCTAAATCCGAAAATAAATCATTCTCTTAACTCTTAAATGTGTGTGAGAAGCAATGGCTGGAGGTACGTTTTTTCGGTTCCATTTCATTCCGCATTTGATCTATATGCTTCGTAAATCATTGAAGTGTGTTTAGGTCGTTTAGATTTTGCTTACAGAATTAACTCAAATATCATTGGGTTTATCAGGTTGAAAGGGCAGGGCAACTGTTTTATTTGAGGATGCAGAAAAGAAATCTAACAATATAGGGGTAGTGGTGAACCCAACTCGGATTTCGAGTCTAGGCGAATATGGTACTCCTCAGATTGTATCAGATAAACTTATCCAGGCTGAAAGGCGTGAGGCTAGTGAAGTGTAACGTTTTTATAATATAATTGTTTTGCTAATTGCATTTGTACCACGTTGGTATCTGAATTGTGATTATACCTTGTAATGAAAATGGAATGTGGTTTTACTTGTGATGGATTGAAAGGTGAAGGAAAATTCTAACCTGTTGAAATAAATTAATATGTAGGCTGAACTTTATTTCACGGAAAAATGGATTATCTTTTCTTGTTTTAGCTACAATATCGATGTTAGGATAAACAATTTAAAGGACTTAATCTATCAGAATTTTCTTTGTTCATTATAATGGACGATGACAATTCTTAATAGGGAAATTGAATCCCTTTGGATGTCGCCTCCTCGATCTCTCATCTCTGTACTATGAGTGGGCCGAAGTTGCATTTTATTGCTGTCACAGGTTTAAACCTGATCGAGAAGGAACTTCGATTATGTAGGAAAGTAAAAAAGAAGCCGAGTTAATTGCTTTCTCTGAGAGATCAGGTCACAGAGACCTTCAAGTGTATGAGTTTGAATACAAGGTTGATAGCTCCAGGGGAGGGTTGAAGAGGGTCTTTTCTGCTGCATTTGTGCATCTAAGAAGCTCCACCTTTTGAATATTGCTCACTCTGATGGTTTAGACGACCCTCTGGACATGGAGAGAAGAATGACTCTGGAACAAATTTTGCACTTGTAACGCCCCAATTTTCAATA